GTGAGCACACAGAGCACAGACATCAGGAAGATGGAGGAAGTTTTAGGAGGAAGCTTAGGAGGAAGGGTGGTGAAGCACTGGAACAGGTTGCCCAAGGAGGCTGTGGATGCCCCATCCCTGGAGGCATTCAAGGCCAGGCTGGATGTGGCTCTGGGCAGCCTGGGCTGCTGGCTGGCAGCCCTGCACACAGCAGGATGATCATTGTGGTCCTTTTCAACCCAAGCCACTCTATGATTCTATGACCAGCCAGAGAAGCACAGCAGGTATCAACATGAAGCCCTTCTGCTCAAACTCAATATTCAGCACCAGATAAGAAAGAGCATTAAATGCAAACACAACTGTGTGTGTGAGTGCAGGAAGCCTGGTACGCAGCCCTGGATGTTAAACTGTGATAAACCGCAAGTGAACAACAGCCAGAAGTTGCTGGGAGGAGCACAACTGTATCTACAAAGCAGCAATGTGACACCAGGACACATTCTTTCCCACCAGCACGTGTCTCACACCCCAGAACAGACCACCACAACAGCATCCCATCCCAGCAGTGAGAACAGCCTCGCACGGTGCAAGCACAGGTGACAGCCAGGGCTCCGCTCACACGGAAGGCACAGAAAATCCCATAGCAAACCCATGTGTTTAAGGTCTCACTTCCCAGACTCAGCCTGCGTCCCACAGTGGCACTGCCCAGGAAATACGCTGGTGACAAATTTGGTGCCACCTTATATAAACCTTAATTTTAAATGCTAACTTCATAATGAGTGGAACAAAACTGTGTAAAAACATTTCCCACTCTAAGCCTGGTTTGATCCCCCCAGTATGGCCTTCTTTTGTAATTACATCCCTTTGTGATCTCCCTCTAATGCCTTGTATTGTGACCCATAAAATAATCAGCCCCCTTTGTCTCTCTCTAATCCTTTTAGACTTCCTTCTTGTCTCTACACTCTTATAAATGCTGCCATTATTTGGGCTCAGCAGCTCTTCCCACCACCCCAGAGCCTGGAAAAGGGGCTGCAGGTTAAACCCTGAATGTATTCCGCGCAGAGGAGCTGAACCCATGGGAAGAAGTGGGCTGCTTGGAAAACCCCACAACTCGCAACCTCCTCCCCTCAGCAGCAGCTTAGCAGGGAAAACAACTCGTGAGCATGCATATTCAGCAGACCTCCCTCTTTTTATATTTTGTAAACGGCCTCCAGACCCTCGGCCTGGGAGTCTGTGGGGAGAGCAGGTGACCCCAAGATAGGCTGAGAATGACCGGGGGGATGGAGGAATGGGATACAGGGCTAGATGCAGAAGGGAAGGGGTAAGGGAGCCCTGTGGGCACAGGGGATGCACGGTGCTAAGATAGGTGATGACTGGTCCCCGATGGCAAGGCAAAGGAGGAGTGTGGCACTGCCAGCCCAGGTCTGTCCAGAGCTGCTCTCACACCCAAGCTGTCACACGCTGGGCCCGTTTCAACAAGCTTCAAGAAATGTCTCTGGATCCAAGTTGCACGATTGACTTACTTCCTCTTTTCTAATCTTTTTTTAATAGCACCAGATCAAACAGTGAAAATTGCTACTCTCAGGCTGGATGCGTGCAGAGCCTGAACCAATACCCAGTTAGATGGTGATTTCCAATTAGTGGTAACTGCTTGTTATTGAGTGATATAATCAATGGGTCTTACTTCACTGGCCGGGCTGTGATTTATGATGATGCAGAGCCAGCTCCATCAAATTACAGCATTGGCAAAAGGGCTGGAAATGCCACGAGACAACATGAGGAAGGCTGAGCTGAGCAAAGGGCAGCAGTGAGAAGAAAAGTGGAATCAATAGGCAGAGCTGTAAGAGAGCCACAGGTGGCTGTGGGTCAGGGAGCTTCCAAAGGAGTGGGTGCAGAGCTCAGGGGGTGTCTTCACCCACAGCCAGGCTCTCCTGGACACCGCTGCCTCAGGAAAACATCAAACTGATACTAATTAAAACAGCACCGAGTCATGAGAAATCATGAAACTGCCATTAGGGAAAAGATCTGCATTCAATAAGCTGATCAGATCATAAAAACACGCCACATTCCACCTCTTCAACCTCCACACCAGGCTCTGAACAGGAGCAGAGACGCCAACCGAGGGCACTCCAAGCAGTGTGCCAGGCAGAGGGTGGGAATGCTGAGGCTCCTGCCTGGCTCAGCCACGTGTGCACTGCTTGCACAGTCATTCAAAAGGAGGTGACAGCACAAAAATATGAGCAACGTGCTTCACACACAACTTGCCAACCCACAGAACAGACAAGATCTGCTTCCCTCCGCTCCGTACCTTTGCTTATTAGGGACAAAATACAGAAATTCCCAAAGACTTCAGGCAATTTCATCAGCCCATTTGGAGGAGGAAGGTTTTAAGACGTGTTCGCTCCATGGGGAAACTGAGGCAGGGGAGTAATAAGATCCGGGGCGGATGGGACTGACAACACAGGCTGCCCCGTTTCCCACTTCTACACACACCTATCACCGTGGCACAGTTACAAACTGCAGCACCTCGGTGGTTTACAGCCTGTGCCAAAGCTGTGGTCTCTTTGCCAGGGGATACCTGCCCTCCCAGCGCCAGCAGAGCCGCACGCGCCGCGGCTGCGAGCCCCATATTCTTCCACTTAAACTTTGCTTCATGCCAACTGTCAGAGTACATTTGAAACATAAAAATATGATATCCAACCCACATTTCCTGAATGCAAATATGTACATTCCTCCGAGCCAAGAAGATTATATTCCAAGCAATAATACAAAGCCAGGGTCTGTAACGGTGATATGAGACTAACAGCGTGCCTTTGAAGACAGCAGAAAGTGCAGCAGAGCTCTCGAGGGGCTCTGCTCTGTCAGATCCCTTTTATTCCTCAGTAGCACGGCCTTGATCAACTTTCAAGATTTCTGTTTGCAAAAGGTTTCTGTTTCTCCTTTGCTTTTGTGCTCAGATGTCAGGCTCAGAGGGAAGAAGAGATCAGCACTGGGATGAGGTTTTACTTGCTGGCAGTGTTTACTTTGCTCTGCACAGGGCTGCTCAGCGCGTGGCTTTTTTCTTCCAGGCAGCCAGCACCCATGGCTTCAATGCAGTGCTCCCCTAAGATGCAGCTGACAACCCTTAGTTTGATTTGATTATCTGGAGCATGGAAGATCGCTGTTACCTGCAGGTAACCACCCTGAGATACAGAGGCTTGAGGGGACAGCTGGGATCTGCTCTCAGGAGGTAGAAGCGAGCCCTGCGCTGCCATCCATCACAGCAGGAGCTGAGTAGGGCAGCAGGTTACACCTGCCCACAGTTTTCCCCAGTCACTCCTGTTATCAGTAGAAGCTGTGGCATCAAGGCCAGGTGCCCTACACTCTGTGCTGGCCTCACCCAGACGTTTTCTCAGAGCCTAAAGACAGAATGGGCTTCTGAGCATCTTCAGAGTGATCCCTTTTATGTTTTGATTCACACGAAGATGGCTACGAAAGGAAATGCTATTCGGGGACACACAGCACATCACATACATATTGATGCCACAGCCGAGATAACAGTGTTTATTGACAATCTGCTATCCCAAAGGTAATTCCTCTGGCTCTCATGTCTCCTGTTTACAGGTCTGAGAAGTCTGACACTGTGCTTGCACGTCAGCCAGCTCCCAGCTCATAAATGCCAGAGCCATTCACAAAAGCGCTCTGAGGTTTAGCACTGCAAGACTGACAAGTTTTAGATCCAGCTGCTAATCTGGCACGGACCCAAAGCCCTTGGCTCCTGGACAATGTCATTTCTTACACTACTGAAAAGCTAGGTTTGCAGATGGCCACTTCATGCACTTGGGAATTGTTATACACAAGGGCTGAAGTGTTCCCTTGGTGGGCTGCCAGCGGACCCCAGCGCAGCGGGGAGCGGGACGCAGAGCTTCAAAGGGCCCCCCAGGCTGGGTTCTGCCACCAGGGGACCCTGGGTCTGGCCCCATACTTTGCCATAGACTTTTCTGCTTTGCACCAAGAAAGCATGGGGTAGCTTGCATATACAATGGAAGTAGTAGTAAGGGGATTGCACGCTAAGGACAGCGATAGCCACCTTCCAAACAAGTTGGAAGACAATTCAATAACACTTAATTTAACAGATCAGCATTTGGCCAGGTCTCAGGATCTTATCGGATACCCATGTTCCCAGCTTTACAGAAATTATACTTAGCAGCAACTTCTCATTACAAGCAAAAAGGATGAGCAGCAGTCTGAGAGCAAAGCCATCTACACAAGGACAGAAGCCACAGTGAGCAGCTCCTGAGCTCTGCTTCAGTCTCAGGACAGATCCACAACCAGAGCTGGCAAAGGGGGAAAGTCACCAGAATCACAAGGTTGGAAACAACCTGCTGGATCATCCAGTCCAACAGCAGACACCCCAAGAGGACCACAGCCACTGCAGCATTTCCAGATGCAAGGGGCTGGAGTTGCAGCCAGCCCTGTAATTCTTCCTCCCCCACCTTTAAATTTCATTCCCTCGCTGACATTTTCATCTCTCTCCTCCTCCAGGCTCACCCACCAGACTATCTGTCTGGTGTTGTTAGCCTTGCCCCCAAAGGCACTGCCACGCTTGATAGTAAATAAGACCTCGCTGCCTCCACACTGCCTGTCTTAAATAACAAAATGAGAGAAACCATGACCTTCTGAAGGTCTTCGTCTCTGGTTTGGGAAGTACTGCCTGCCAAGCAGAGTCCATCAAGCTGCAAAGCTGACCCTGGTTTCAATCTCCCTGCCGTGGGCTGGCTGCCCCCACCAGCTCAGGGCCCCATTCACCCCTGCCTTGAGCACCTCCAGGGATGGGGCACACACAGCTCTCCGGGCAGCAGTGCCAGGGCCTCACCACCCTCTGAGTAAAGAATTTCCACCTGACACCTAGCCTAAATCTCCGTTCTTTCAGTTTAAAATCATTTCTCCTTGTCCTATCACCGTCACACCACGCTTCCCAGCAAAACCAGAGCCCACAGCAGAACCACAGCACGAGGCGCAGGCAGGGCAAAGCCCCTACTTACTCGCTGCCTGGATCTTCGCCTTCCGGCTCACCACCAGCCCATAATGGTTCTGTGCCATGCAGTCGTACTCGCCCTCGTCGGAGGAGCCGTCTCCCCTCACCCTCTGGAAGCGGGAGACGTACAGCGAGCCGTTGGCCAACATGAAGGCGTTCTCGCTGTCCACAATCAGGGCGCCGTTCTTGCGCCACGTGATGGTGATGGGCTGGATGCCTTCCACCTGGCAGTAGAGGATCAGGGGCTGCTCCTGCACCGCTATGTCATCGCTGGGCTCCACAACGAACGCCAGCTCAGAGGAGTGACCGAAATCTGAAAAGCGAGGAGAGAGAAGGGCAACACATCAGCAACAAGATGAAGCGACAGTCAACACTAAGGCAGCTAACAGGCCATTAACGTTCCAGAAAAATAAGCAACCTTTGGGCGTGCTTTGCATCCAAAGGCTTTGCCCTCGAAGTCCCAGGTTTGGTTTCCAAAGGCACATCCACAGACACAGCCCTCCAAGGCTGAGATAAGTTACTGCAGAATTTGCCCCAACAACAGGCAAACCCCCCCTTCCCATCACACAGATGCACACTCCTTTACTTCTTTTGCCAACTGAACGTTTAAACTCTATGTCTTTGGCCTGCTGTGCTTCATTTGGTCCAGCACCCCTTTTTAGGGTGTAATTTGCCATACAACCATGATTAGGCACTACAGAAGGCGACAGAAATAGAGCTGTTGTTTAAAGGTTAGCCCAAAACACACACTGACATGAAAGACCAAGAAACAGGAGTCATATAAATATTTGAAGGGCGTAAACATAGTGATGGAGGCAATTTTTTTAATTTTTTTTAAGGGAAGAGCAATGAAGAAATTCCAGAAGAGCAAGAAAAGTGGTATTTCCAAGCACAGGGAAAACCATTCTGGCTGTTCTTTTGGTGCAGCTCCCACAGCTCTGCTCTGACACCCAGCTTCCCCCTTCCCCTGGGCTCCAGGGGCCCAATGCCACGGCTTCCTGCAGAACTGGGATGCACGTGGCCAACATCTCCCAGCAGACAGAGGCCACAGAATGGTCTTTGGGATGCCTGCCTCTGGAAGACCCCAGCACGGCCAGGATCCCACCACGAGAAAGGTCCAACTGGGTGGAGAGCAGATCGTTAATGCATGGGAGGAGTAGGAGAGAGCTATCCTAAAAGAAGGGAGAAAAAAAAAAAGGAAAAAAAGAAAAAATGCCTGTCTTTTTTTTTGCTCTGCAAACCCAGCGCGATTTTTTTCTTTCTTTCTGCAAATCCCCATTGCTTTCTACAGCAACTTAAATTGGATTACGGGGGATAAACATTGAGTGCAACCTGAGCCAAGGCAGATGGACGGAGCAGACAAAGAAGGCCGGGGTAGTGCAGGCAGGTCAAAGGTACTGCTGTCAAGGTATGAGTGTGTGCAGGGAATGGACAAACTCTACTTAGTGACAGACACCTAAAGCACACACTTTATTAACCCATTAAGTCTTAAAACGTCAGGCTAGCCCCAGCCATCTCAGTGATCTATCGCTCGCCGTGACTGCTCTCTTTACGAGATAGCCTTGGGGTCCTCTCTGCAAGTTACACTGCAGCCAGCACAAAGCCATCAATTACTTTATGAAAATTAAGGAATTGAGATGAATGCTCTGCATTTTTCTGCAAAGTGGACAGAGCCTCATCAGCATCAACCATGCTGGGGCCCCACTCCGTGTTATGCAGGATAGGGACCTCCTCCTGCCTCCCCTCTGAGCTTCTGGCTCTCTACAGACTGACCAGGAATTTAGGATTTAACCTAAAAGACAACCAAAAGAAAGCAACCAACACAAATCCTAATGAATTAAATGCCCCATCTTCCCCCAGCTCCCCTGTATTCTCAGATAAAACAGCTTGTTATTATACGTACAATAAAGGAAGTAAGGAAGAATCAACATAATTACATGCCCTTCCCACAATAGCTGTCATTATAATAACCATCATTAAGGCGTGTGATTGGAGATAATCATGTTTACCTCCATAAACATTCGGTCTGCATCCAAACCATGGGCTGCTCAAGCAGCAGCAGTGAGGGCACTCACAATTAGGACTGGTGGGACACAAAGTGGGGCAGGGACGGCTGCTGGCTGCTCCTGGGGTCTCCTTGGGACTGTGCCTCCAGGGGTGACACAGGACATCGACTGCTTTGTTCCCTACAGATGCCTGACAGCACCAGAAGCACCCCAAATTCTGGCTCCTGGGATGCTTTTCTGTCCTTGAAGAAATCCCACTGCCACTTTCCTGAGCTTCAGGGCAAGGCAACCAGCTGATGGGATGCATGAGGAGAGGGAAGCCCAGCCCCTCCTTACATCAGACAGATAACAAGTGCTAATATGGGATTAAGGGAGAAGCCAAGCTCCGTCCTTCACCCCAACACCCCATATAAGCTCTGGGACGCTGCCCCATCCAGTGCTGCACAGCATAAGGAACAAGCACGAGAAACCAGCCCACAAACTGCCCAGCCTGGGGCCCATGGGCTGCTGCACAGCTGATCTGAAGAAAGCAGGGCACAAGACATGGTAGGAACTGGGCACCTTACACGTTTTGTCCTCTTTGAAATATTTCCCTGCATCCACTTGGCTGTAAGCACAGTGGGAATTTCCACTCAGTGGGATTACTCACAAATAGCATGGATTTCAAGAACTGGGCTCTGAACAGATGAAGCTGAGGTCTGGCCTTCCAAACGGGCACTGTGGGGACACCAGTCCTCAAAGCAGACCCCAGACCTGGGATAAGAGGTGAAGGCAGCAGGATGAGGTACTGGGGACGAGGGGCAGCAGCTCCATTAGCAGCAATACCTGACCAGGCAGCAGCGAGGCACAGAAATGATGGAAAGGAAGCAAATGATGCTCTGAACATGCATGGAAACAGCAAAAGTGCGACTAATTGTGAGAGAGGAAATCACTGAGGTCATATGCGTTCCCTATAGAGTCTAAAAGCCCCAGCCACGGGCTGAGTACCAAACCTGCCCATCCCACACGGCATCCCGGGCCCCAGCCCTGAAGCATTATGCTCTGCAGTGCCTCTCCTGCAAGCAGGCACGGGGCTGGAGGTGAGGAGATCACCCATCAGAGCCCCAGCCCTTCGCTGGACAACCTCCTTCTCTCCTACAGAAGGATGAAGGGAGGAAGCCTCATCAGCTCTGACATAAAGGCCACGAGAAAATTATTGGAACCCTCACCCTACAAGTCTCCTTTTGAGAAACATTTACCATCTCCCTGAGCTACACAATATGAGACGATATGTGCAAATATTTAACAAAAACTACTTCCCCTATTGATCAAGCAGACAGGCATACTCAGAGAAACCAATTAGCACTTGTGCTTTTGAACCAAGAGATTTATTTAGTGCTGAGAGAAAGAACTTGGAATTAATGGGAAGCTTAAAAGACACTTTGAAGTATATTTAAAAAAAAAAAAAAAAAAAAGTTTAATTATTTTTCACTTGACACTGTGATTCATGCTCAAAGCTTCAAAAGGACTCGCTCATATCTGAGTATTGTCCTTTTCCATTTGGGAAACGTGGCGTTGGCTTTCTGTCCTGTTCTTTGGAAAGGTACAGCAATCCACCAAGAAAACCAATCCCATAGAACAGAGTGGTAGAATGGCCTGGGTTGCAAAGGACCACAATGATCATCCACTTCCAACCCCCTGCTATGTGCAGGGCTGCCAACCAGCAGACCAGGCTGCCCAGAGCCACATCCAGCCTGGCCTTGAATGCCTCCAGGGACGGGGCATCCACAGCCTCCCTGGGCAACCTGTTCAGTGCCTCACCACCTCTGTGTGAAAAATTCCTCCTATTCCTACCGGGAATGCCAATCCCAAAGGCCCAGCTCCCAACATCCTGGGGCAGGATCCCTGCATTGCCCATGGTCACGGATGGGGCCTGGGCAACCCAACGTGGTGAGGGCAATCAGCCCACTGCAGTGGGACTGGGCGATCTTTAAGGTCCCTTCCAACACATCCACGACCCTACAATTCGCCCTGGTGCACCGACCTGCCCTGCACCCAGCCCTGTCCCAGCAGCACGTCCTTGTGTGAGCAGAAAGCTCTCGTGTGCCCTCCCCTGATTTACTGTGTTTGTTCCCAATGCAACGCAGCATAAATCAGCAGCGCCCCACCAGCAGCCATCACCAAGGTTATGCTCTGGTCCTGCTTCAATACAGCCAAAAGAAAGCATCCCCACTCATGAGCAGAGATCTGGGGCTGTGGGTTGGTGTTAGGACAAAGCACACGGGAGCAGGGCAGGTTGGGATGGCCCAACACACTACAACTGCTGCTTACTGTTGGTGCTTTTATTTTTAAGCACTCCTGCAAATGCAAAAAGGTGGAGGGAGCAGCTCTCCACAGCTGAAAGGCGTTCTCCTGCAGATTAAAACAGGTTTCAGCTGATGAAATTGGCAACCTAAAAACCCAGCTGGTGCCCCTTAAATCTCCTCCAGGCTGACCTAGACACTAACGAGAAAAGCACTACACTGCAGTAAAGTGCAAATTGGCTCTTTAGGGCATCCAGAAAAAATTTACATGCAAAGAAGAGGAGAATAGGCTGCAGCATGCCCCACGTCTTGCTGGCAGTAAAGTTTACTGGCTCAGAATTTCTTATTCCCTTTCCTTTCGGACAGAGGCTACGCAAAGTGATTTCTCCGTCAGGTACCCACTTGCTATGGGACTGCAGGAGGCTCTGTGGGGATAACAGGAGATCTTGGCCACCTGATGCCAAGTTCAGCCACGCAGCCAGCATCTCCGCCCTGGGTTTCATCCAGGGAAGGCAAACCCCACTCAGAGAGGCACAGAAACGGCTCCAAATAATTTTCAGATGTTTGAGACCAGATCGGGCCAATCCCAGGAGGCTGCTTGTTAAGCACAGAGTGGAAGCAGGAAGCATTCCCAGCACAAAGGGCCCTTCCAGGACACGCTCCATGAGCCCTAAAGAAAGGGCACAGCCTGGCAGTGGAGCTGGAAAGGGCAAAGACCCTTTTCGTGCTAACAGCTCTACCCACAGGAAGGAACCCCGAGCACACAGCAGCCCCATGCTGTTATCCGTTCCCCATGTGGTCAGCAGCCCCAACCTGATCTCACCTCTCATACAAACACAGAATGACCAGGGAGAGAAAGGATGAATGCGGAGCTGGGCTCGGCATGGCCACAGGCACCCCGACATCACCGGGTCCCATCGCATCGCCCTGAGATTTGTGTGCAGTGCTGGTGGGCAGGAGCACGCAATGCACAGGGAGAGGCAAGGTCCTTCTGGAGGCACAGAGCTTTCTGCACGTGTTAAACA